TCCAGAAAAATTAGAAAGATCTCTAAGAGTAACTGAGTGCTCTTCCACTTTGGGCATGTTTAGTGTGTTCCTTGGATTAAAATGCCAGCTTTCTGTTCTTTCAGAAGATGAAGCAGAATTTTATTTAGTAAACAATACTTCTGCACATAATAGTGCTTTTCATCTAAGGCTCTCACAGAACTTGCTCCTAAGTGAGTGTAAATAGCCATAACTGTATTGACATAAATCAGGGCTACTCAACATGTGGCCTGCTTGTTTGCGGCCTGTATTGGGTTTACAAGGGGCTCAATACATGGCACGCGGGTGGGAGCCAAAACAAAAAAGTAGCCAATATAATGGTCTTCTGTTGATAAGAGTTTTAGTAGTTCAATTCCTGGATTGTCATTGCTCATTGAAAGTGCTGTCATATGGGTGGAAATTGGGTAAAGATTGCATTTTATTAGCATCAGCAGAACTGACTTAAATGTAGCTAGTGTGTTGTTCAGTCTTGCCTTAATCTTTATATTCATGCCCATCGGTGTGAAAAACTATTTGCATATATTTGCATATATATTTGCCTTTATATACAACCACACTTAAGTTGCGGTCCTCCGCATGTGCTGTGAGTATCATTGTAGCCCTGATCCAAAGTTGAGTAGCCCTGACATAAATGGTACTAGGACAATTTACACCAGTTAAGAATCTGATTCACTAAGTCAAAACACAGATTCCCTGTGAGGTAGAGAGGAATTTACAACATTTTACAGCTACATTAGGGCATTGAAAGAATGATACATTAAAGATCACTCTGTAATTCTGTATGAAAACTGGCAATAGAACCCAGAAAAATCTGAGTACTTGTTTGCCCCCTAAGAGACTAAGGAGAGAACAGGATTGCCTTCAATATGCTCACAACACTGATTGCTCTGAATTAAGATCATGGCCGTTGACTAGATGTATTTTGTATATTTCCTCTGAAACTTCAGGAGTGGCTGTGGTGGAGACACCTGATGAGATGGATTAGTGTGTGAAGATGGGACCAACAATCTTTTTAAATGCCTGGCTGATGTGTGTCGCCCACATACTCAGATTGCCATACTGATCACAGATTTGAAATCAGAAAGAAATTATCTCCCGAGGGCAGATTGGCAAGGGCTTAAGGGTTTTTCACACCCCTCTGCAGTATGGAGTGTGGTGGCCTGCTGAAATCATGTGGGCAGACAGGGCTGGCCTTACCATGAGGCGAACTGAGGCAGCCGCTTCAGTTGCCAGACTGTAGGGAGAGACCCCTAGGACCCAGAGTGTAGAAAATTGTGTCTGCTGCTGTTGCATATGTATTCTCTCTGCAGTACCATGAGAGGAGTAGAACAGGAAGAAGGCAGAATTGAGACCTTTCAAAGTTTTGGCCCAAGCGAGGGGACATGAGGGCGTCATTTGAGCTCCCTGCCTCAGGTGCCAAAATGTTGTGGGCCTGCCCTGTGGGCAGAACTCATATAATAGCTAGGTCTCTTCAATTGCATGGTGACATGTTGGTCTCTTCTGTTCTCTCCCTGGTTTACAGCATTTCAGTCCTCAGCCTTTTACACTATCCTACATGATAACCACTTTATGGAAAAAAAAGAAAGATGTAGTCCCTGCTCTGTAAAGATCAGTCTAGTTTTAGACAAACAAGACAGGAGTGGGCAACAAACAGTAAGGAGAGTGAGGAAGAATGACTTTTGCAACAATATGATCTCACAGTTATTAAACCCAGGCATGTGGAAATCTTGATTTCAAAGATTCATAGATTATAAAACCAGAAGAGAGCCTTAGATAATCTCTCTCACTTCCTGTATTACACAGTCCATAGAATTTCACCTAGTCACCCACATGCTGAGCCCAGTAAATTGTTCAAGGCATGTCCTGAGAAAGGCCTCCAGTCTTGATATGAAGACATCAAGAGATGGAGACTTCACCATTTCTGTTTGCTCCAATAACTAATAGTCCTGAGGGAATTCTGCACCAAACGATCAAAAACTCTGCAAAATTCTGCACGTTTTATTGTCAATAAATAAATGCAGAGAGTGGGTGATTACCTTGCAGCCTCCCCAGCCTCCATCCCCAGCATAGGGACTAACTGCTGAAACAACACAGAGCCTGACCCAGAGACACCCTGGGACCCTGCCCTATGCAGTAGACGTGCGCAGGCAGGCTCAGCTGAGCAGGATCGAAGTGTGAGGTGGCTCAGTGTGAGGGGATCCAGCTGTGGGGTGAGAGGATTCTTTGTGAGACAACCCGAGTGCAGGCATCTCTGTGGGGGGATCAGGATGCACAGAGGCTTATTGGGGATGTTCCAGGTGCAGTGGTACTGGGACTCTGCAGGGACTTACAGGTGACTGTGGGTGGAGCTCTGTGGAGAGGTCTGGGTGACCCAGCAGAGGGGCCTGGGTGCTGAGCAAGTGAGATTTGGGGGAGGAGGGAATGGAAGTCTGAGTGCAGCTAATTGGGAATCAGTGGCATTGGGGCTCAGAGTAGTGCAGAGGATGTGGCTAGACAAGGTGAGTTTGAGTGAAGCTTAGAGGGGGTAGTCTGGGTGCAGAGAAAGGGTCTGGAGGCAGGAGGTGTGTCTGCAGGGGCTGAGATTCTGAAAGGGGGCATTCAGACATGGAGGGCTAGCTAGGTTCTGGATGTGCCAGGTGAGGGGTGCCTAGGTATGGCAAGTCTGGATGCTTGGTGGTCGGGTTAAAGGGGTAGCAGCTCCCCATGCAGCAACCCCTGTAATTGAGAGCAATAAGGGTAAAAATCAAGGAAAATTGCTGAGCTTCCTGGAGCTGGGGAGGTTTCTTGGGACTAGGTTTGACACAGCCCCAGCAACTCTTTGCAGGGGAAGAGGAACCCCTGTCCTCTCCCGCCACCAGCTCAGCCAGGACTAGCAGTTGATCCCGGTTCATGGTAGCAGTCATTGGCTAGGGTATCTCCAGCCCCGTAGCAATCTATCCCTCTGCTGGCTGCTCTGGGTGCCTGAAACTATATATTTGCACTGATGGGGAGCGTTCTGTGGCTGCTCTTGCAGTTTCTCTTTGCTTCCCTGTGAGAAAGTCATTTTTCAGCAGGGAAGCAAAGAAATATTTGGGGGACATGAATTCTGCATGAGCAGTGGTGCCAAATTTTCCCAGGAGTAAACTAAGCAGCCTCCCAATTAAATAATGTGTGTTTTGTTTCCAATTTGAATTTGTCTAATTTCTTGTTATGCCTTGCTCCATTAAATTAAAGAGTCTCTTAATACCTTGTATTTCTCCCTGTGAAGGTATTTATAAACCATGATCAAGTCACCTCTTGATTTTCTTTTTGAAGCTAAACAGATTGAGCTCATTAACTCTCCCACTGTAACCTTTGCCAAAGGTTACACTGCTTACAAAGTAAACAGCACTTGCTTGTGCTGGAGGCCAAAGCAAAAGGACTTCCGTGTGCAAGAAAGGTATCCTTTTGCACCCTACTGAATTTAACAAATAGTCTTGAAACTAATAAGAGCCAATCTCTATGAAGGACAGAACTGATGAAGATGACACTTTAGAGACAGCTGATCACATTGGCCACTTGTGCTTCAATTTCTGGCTTGCTTTAGATATTTCCTGCAACTATTAGTGAACATCTTTTAAAATCTGGCATGGAGTTTAAATCATAATACAATAGAATCCTCTTGATCAGGAGAAATCAATGGATGGTCGATAACCATCATTAAATGGAAGTTCTAGTCAAAAGGAGAACCTTAATAAAGGAATTTGAAATGTCAAATGACAGAATATTCTTCTAAATAATGATTAAAGAATAAATGGATATCACTATAATTTACATTTAATATTGTTTTACTTTTTAAATATTTGGCAATTATTGCCTTACTGCCAGTATGATGCTAGATAGCATTCTAGAGAGTTGGTTCTGCTTATGTCTGTGGTGAATTTGGTCCCAGATCTCAGAATTTGCCTGATGAATACTTTGGAAACTGGTCCATTATGAGGAAGTTGGGCTCATATGGTCCTAATTAAACAACAGCCATTACTATCCAATATCATTAGACTAAATTGGTTCTCTGGGAATGGTGCTAATTAGGCACATCCCAGTGATGGATTGTATCCTTCATTAGTTGTACAATCAAAACTTATTAGCTGTATTGTACCCAAAAAGTGTGTAGGTACTTTAAACACCTGTCATAAAATAGGTCCTTGTCCCATAGGTCCTTGTCCCATAGAGTTTATAACCTAAACAGATAGCATACAGACAGAGGAGAAGAGAAGAGTAAGAACTCAAGACATTTTGCTGTAATAATTGCTGCCTACTGGCACATTGAATTCAGTGGGATTTTGCATGCACATAGAATGCGCTTGACTGAAATGGAGTATGGTTTCATTGGAAATGGAAAAGGCCTGCTGTCAGATTATGTTAGCCTGTTTAGTCTCTCGCACTCTCTAACAGAGGCAACTCATAGTGACCAAAAGGTCTTACCTAGCTTCTATAACATTCCTGCCAAAAATATTTCTGCTCCTCAAAGGATTTCTGTGTCATTTCATTCATAGTTGTTGAATTCCTGTTCCTTTAAATGATAGTTATGGATGCATGAATATGCTCTACTCTAAATTTTCAGCAACCACATTGAAATGTGTGATGCAGACTGATGTGTCTTTCCCATGGATGCTGCTGTAGCAGTCTTTAAATATTTATGACTTGTGTTGTCCAAATTGTAAATAAATAGTATGAATAAAAGAAATGGATCCTGCTCTGTGCCTGAAAAACAAAATTAATAAATTAAAGGTATAGTGCACAATCCGGTAAAAGTGGCTGTTGAATTTGACATGACACGGGCAAACGAAAAGGAAACTAATGCAATGAAAATGATTAGACTATTAGCAAATTCACATTTATTGCATTCTTGACTGATGCCACCTAAGACACACATTTATCTACTGTATTACTGAAGATAATCAGAACAAGCTTAACTAAAATAAGGTGAGGGTGCTTCTCTTGTCTCTTCATAGTGAGCCAAACTAAGAAACTGACTGGGCTGGTGTCAATACCTCAATCTTCTTGGGGCACAATATTTTCCTGAAAGCCTGTCGAAACCTAGCATGGCAGAGAGGGTAGAGGAAAGGATTCACAGAAGAATTGAGCCACAAAAGCCAAAATGTTATTTCATACATGGATTCGTGGATACACCCTTCATAGCAAGCTGCACGAACTATCATAAGTAATGAATATGGTGCCCAGCAAATGACAAAGACAAAGACAATAATGGCAAGTGACTTGGCAATTTTTTTGTCCCTGTCCAATTTTGATTTGGTCTTCATTCTGGGGCCTACTGACTGATCCTTGTCAGGGGTTACAGAATAGCCTCTAGCCACATGTCTACGGCTGGTCCCCAGTGACTGCATCACTGTCCTGGAAGAAGTAGAAGTACTGTCCTGTGTTTCTAAATCATGAGAAGAAACTTCTTCCTTAAGTGAGCAATGGTCAGCCATCAAAACTTTGTTTCCTGTTGAAGATACAGACATCTGTTTGCTACAGGTGACTGTGCTCTGGAGCCTGATTCTCTGGCGATTTTGTATATCCTGGTAGATTTGAATGTTGAAATAGGCCACAAAGATACAAGGTATGAAGAATTCAAAGACGGAAGCACACAGGAGAAAGTACCAGTTGTTATGGAATCCAGCATAGCAGTTTCCATCATGTGTGATGTTTTTGTCAACCACATGTTCCCAAATGATGAGTGAAGGGCCATAGATTAAGAATGCAAAGACCCAGATTGCCAGCATCTTAGCAACAGTATTTGAAGTCATTTTCTGTTCAATCCTGTATGTCACCTAAAAGTAAAAGACTCCCATGTCAGTCACATATTGAGTTCTCTTTATAACTAGTATAAATACTTTGTAAAAATTTCTGGGAATAACCGAATAAACGCTGCAAAACCTGTGATTCCCAGAGATAAACATATTCAATCTCAGTCCCTTTGAGATTAAAAAAAAACAAAACACAAGACTGGTTCTTCCCTGCCACCACCCAAGTGATTCCAAGAACATCAGGGAAGAAATCACTTGGGAAATCCCCTCCCCAAGGTAAAACTCTCCTCCCTCTGCCCCAGCCTCTGTTTTGCTTGGAGTTGGAAAAACAGAGGGAATCCACAGACAACAATGGACTCTGCCCTTGTAACTAGGCACTTAGTCCTAAGGACACAATAAACCGGTTAATTAGAATAAAAAGAAAACTCTTTTATTATAAAAAAAACAAACTATTTTTGCAAGCGTAGTAAATTGGCTAGATGGTAAATAGCCACCATTTGATATATACTCAGAGAAAGTCCCTGGGCTGTAATCCTTAGTTACAAAAGAGAAAAACAATAAGCCAGCTCAGACATGATTTCCAAACTCCCAAACAAAGAAAACAATAAACCCTGACAGACTATCCTCATCTGAAGAAGTGGGTTGGGCCCATGAAAGCTCACGATACCATCTACATGTTTTGTTAGTCAATAAGATGCCACTAGACTATTCATTGTTTTTTAAGTTTTTCTAGTTACGGACTAACTTGGCTACCCCTCTGAAACTTTTGTAATAAGAAAGTAATTATGACTGCTTCCAAGCATTAGATAGCATCTAAATTTGAAGAGTTATGATGCTTTATTTATCATTTAAATGTTCACTCAGATTCCTTTAGTTGTTTAGGGTTATATAGATTACCAGATTTTTTTTTTAAAGTATCCAGCAGCAAAAAGGTTGCCTGTGCAACCTTAATTGAGACCCCTTGTGTATATGTACTACGACAGTGATTAATTACATGGTCACTTACTACTTTTTCCCACAGGACCCTGACTCATTCAGTGCATAGGATTTATGGTATTTCCTGAATGAGCTGTTATTCAATAGTTTGTTGTTTTCCTTATTTTTCAGTATTTGGCCCCAGGACTTATTTATTGCACACTATTCAAACCCTGCTCTCAAGACAGAATTAGTAATTTCCTCATGGGCTTGTCTGTGGCACTTATCACTATAGCATCTGAGTGTTTCACCTGGAAATAGAGAGAGTATCAGCATTCCTATTTTACACATAGTGACTGAAGTACAGAGACAATGACAAAATTATCCACTAATTTTGGGTACCAATCTAAAATGGTTTAATTTTTTTTCATAAGACATAATATTTTACAACACTTTTGTCTGTTCAAAGCACAGCTCCCTCTGACTTCAGCAATAGCAGTGAGGGCTCAGGACTGTGCAAATAAGACCCCGGGTGTCTCAATTTGGGATACAGACAATAAAAAATATAATTAAGTAGCCACTTGTGAAAAGTCTGGTGTAGGTGATTTGCCCAGCATCACATAGGAGCTCTATGGCAGAGGCAGGGATAGAACCCAATATCCCAGGATTCTATTCCTGCTCCATTCACTATGTACCTTCCAATCCTCCCTCTTAGCAATGGGGGGATGGGCCTTTGGTTTTGGCATAGGCCTACTCCTGCCTGTCCCAGACTTGCAAGTAGTATACACCTTCCATTTCTGCACTTAGGGTATGTCTAGACTAAATGGCTCCGTCGACGCTTCATTTTTTAAATCACTTCATTATTTAAATCGCCGCTTCATTTTCCTATGTCTAGTAAACTCATCTACAAGGCTCCGTTGATGGAGCCATGTAGTCTAGACATACCCTTAATGAGTCACAGATCCAGAAGTAAGAACAGCCTGTGATCATGTAATTAATGATTGTCTCATTCCACACATGCATTCTTCCTAACTTTTGAGGGCTAAATACTGCAACTTTAATACTCCATAAGAGAAAGTTACTCACCCTGTGCAGTAACGATGGTTCTTCGAGATGCGTGTCCCGTGGGTGCTCCACTATATGGATGCTCCACTATAGGTGTCGGGCTTGTCCCGGCGCCACAGATCGGAGAATTTTCGTAGCCGTAGTCCGCCGGACCATGCATGCGCCAAGCGCGGCTCGTGCCCTTTCGCCCCGTTTGTGTTCGCGCGGTCCAGCTTCCGCCAGTTCCTCCTGATCCTCTTGGTCTGAAAGACAAATAGAAATTCCGAAGAGGGGAGGAGGGCGGGTCGTGGAGCACCCATGGGACACGCATCTCGAAGAACCATCGTTACTGCACAGGGTGAGTAACTTCCTCTTCTTCTTCGAGCAGTGTCCCATGGGTGCTCCACTATAGGTGAATTTGCAGCAGTAGCCCCTAAAAGGAGGGGGGTTCGGAGCTATCGTGCTGCAGCTGTGGACAGCACCGCTGTTGCCACTGCTCCTTCTGGAAGGTGGAGGTTGGGAATGGCATAGTGCTTGGCAAAGGTGAAATTTGACGACCACGTAGCAGCCCTACAAATGTCTTTTAGAGGTACGCCCTTCAAGAATATAGTTGATATAGCGACTGCACGCGTGGAATGCGCTGTCGGATTCTGTAGCAGCGGTCTACTACATAGGGTATAGCATTCCTTTATGCAAGCGCTGTGCTGACAATGGTTGACCCTTAGAACGATCGGCTGTAGACGCGAATAGATTGTTTGTCTTCCTGATGGACCTAGTCCTGTCTATGTAGAAAGCCAGGGCACGTCTGGCATCCAAAGTATGTAGCCGAGCTTGTTCTGCCGAGATGTGGGGCTTTGGGTAGAAAGTGGGAAGCACTATCGGCTCATTGATGTGAAATTTTGAATTCACTTTCAGAAGGAAAGTGGGTTGAGGACGTAAAATGACTCCTTGATCAGTAAACAGAGTGTATGGGGGTAAGGCCGATAAGGCAGCCAGCTCACCAACCCGTCTTGCAGAGGTTATAGCCGTGAGAAAGATAACTTTCATTGTGAGAGTGCGCAAGTCACATGTGGCCAAGGGCTCAAAGGGTTTCTGAGTGAACGTATTAAGAACGAGCTCTAGGTCCCATGGTAGCGCTGGTTGTGTTCGGTGTGGAAAGAGATTATGTAAGCCTTTCATGAAACATAGCATCGTCGGGTGAGAGAAAACTGAGTAACCATCCACAGTGTGGTGTAACGCAGTGATTGCGGCGACGTGCACTCTAAGAGAGGTGCAGCTGAGAGAAGAGCTCTTGAGGTGCACGAGGTAGTCCAGAATACAGTGGATGGGCGCAGAATAAGGATCCAGGGATGCCGACGCACACCATGCAGAAAATCGTGCCCATTTGTGAAGGTAGGTGGATCTCATGGATAATTTCCTGCTATGTAAAAGAATGTGTTTGACCTCTTGTGAACAGATCATTTCTGTTTGTTGAAACCAACTAGGAACCATGCCGTCAGTGCCAGAAGATCGATCTGGGGATGGAACAGGCGCTGCCTGTTCTGGACAAGAAGGTCGCGCCTCTTGGGCAGAGGGAATGGATGCCGCGCTGACATATGATGGAGGTAAGGAAACCACGTTTGTCTTGGCCAAAAAGGAGCTATCGGGATTACAGTGGCTTTGTCCATCAGTATCTTTTCTAGTACTCTGGGGATTAGAGGTGTGGGAGGGAATGCATACAGCAGTTGGAGTTCCGACATATTCCTGCCCTTGAACAGTATTGGGGGCATTTGGCGTTCAAGCGGGTCGCAAATAGGTCCACTGTTGGGAATCCCCAGGAGCGGAATATGGTTAAGAGGACTTCCGGGTAAAGCTCCCATTCGTGCTTCAGGGAAAAATGTCTGCTTAGTGCATCGGCTATAGAGTTCTGCTGACCGGGTAAGTATTCTGCAATCAGGGAGATTTTGTGGTGGATGCACCAATTCCATAAGGCAATTGCCTCGGCGCAGAGTGACCGGGATCGTGCCCCGCCCTGCCTGTTTATATAGTATACTGTTGTCATGTTGTCGGTAAAAATTCGGACAGTTTGGGCACGAATCTTTGGGAGAAAATGACGACAGGCATTGCGCACCGCTCATAATTCTAGGAGATTGATATGCAGCATCGACTCCTCCGGGGACCAAAGCCCTTGTACCTGATTGTGTTCCAGGTGTGTGCACCTGCCTATTAAGGATGCGTCGGTGGTCAGCTGTATTGTCGGGGGGTGGGGATGGAATGGGACACCCGCCCT